TGTCATGCCCAAGAACTAATGCTAGGAATAGGTTCTTCAAAGTTTTTGAAGGAAAGGAACGTGGAAAGATTTTCCTTACTATTTGTTTGAGGAGCACAGTAAAATACATGGGAAAATCCTATTTGAATTAAAATGAATTCATGCTTAGGGCTATAGTTAGGGTTAGAGTTAGGTCTACTTGGTGTCAAGCCCAAGAAGTAATGCTAGGAATAGTTTCTCGAAGTTTTTGAAGGACAGGAAAGCGGGCAGCTTTTTGTTGTGAGTTGTTTGTGGACCACAGTAGAATATATGGGAAAATCCCCTTTGAATTAAAGTGAATTTAGGGCTAGGGCTAGGGTTAGGTCTACTTAGTGTTAAGGCCCAAAACTAATGGTAGGAATAGATTCTTTGAGATTTTTGAAGGAAAGGAAAGTTGACATCTTTTTGTTTGGATTTGTTTTAGGAGTAGGGTTAGGGTTAGGTCTACTTGGTGTCATGGCTCAAAAGTAACACTAGGAATAGATTCTTCAAGATTTTTAAAGGAAAGGAAAGTTGACAGTTTTTCATTGTGCGTTGTTTGTGGACCACAGTAAAATACATGGGAAAATCCCATTTGAATTAAAATGAATTTAGGGCTAGGGTTAGGGTTAGGTCTCATGGCCCTAAACTAACGCTAGGAATAGATTCTTCAAGGTTTTTAAAGGAAAGGAAACATGACAGCTTTTCATTTGGATTTGTTGTGGAGCACAGTAAAATACATGGGAAAATGTGAATTTCAATGAAATATGAATCTAGGGTTTATTGTTCAGTTTACATGGCGTCATGGCCAAAAAGTAAGGTTTGTTAAGGAAGGTATAGTTGACATCTTTACGTTCTGAATTGTTTGTGGATCATTGGAAAATACGTGGGAAAATCCTAGTAGTATTGAAAAATAATCTATGGTCAGGGAGTCAGTTAGTGTTAGGTTTACTTAGAGTCATGGTTGTAAATTACTGTTCAGAATATATTCTTAGAGATTTCCTAAGGGACATCTTTTGCTCTACTGCTCTTCCTGGCCCCTTGCAAAATACATGGGAAAATCACATTTCCAATTAAAATGAAAGAAAAGTTAGTGTCAGATTTAGGTCTGCTTAGAGCCTGGTGCAAAATTTTTTGCTAGAGTAGATTTCTACAACTTTTGAAATGGAACAAAGTTGACAGGTTTTCATTTGTACTTGTTCTTTATGGACCACAGTTAAATATGTCAGAAAATCCATTTGCAAATGAAAATTAATCTATGGTTAGGGTTAAGTCTACTTGGAATGATGGCCAAAAACTTATGCTAGGGATAAATTCTTAGCTGTTTCCTAAGGAAATTAATGTTGACATCTTTTAAGATTGACATAAGCTTTATTGTCATTTTTTTTTATTCTGAGCACATTGGCAAACATTAAAAATGAAATTCTGTTTCTTGCTCTCAAAAAAAAAAAGTATTACCCAGACCCATACCATGTGTTCTCCAAAACAAGACCTGAAAATATGCCATAGCATGATTTTTACACATGTGGTTAATATAAGCCCTACCCACAAAATAAGTACCACTTAAGAGCCTGCACACCCATCCAGGCCAAGTGGTTGCTCGCAGTGCCGCCAAGGCACGTGGGGGAGGGGGTGGAGCTGCCCCGCACCAGCTTATTTCAGGACCCTTGCAGCTAGGCTATCCACGCCCTGACAACTGCCTCACGGTGGCAGCACTGGTAGCCATGTCCAGCAGGAGCCCACATCCAGCACACTTCTGCTTGCTCATGACCACAACGGAGCAGGAAGTTGAGCTAGGCACCAGTGCTGTGGCCACAATGCGAGACAGATGTCAGGGTATGGATGGCCTAGCTGGTTGGGCCCTGACTAAGTTCTCTTTAAATTTTTAAAATTTAAAGTAAAAATAAACTTTTTATTTACAGATCCAGGACATGAAGAAGAGAAAATGGATAGTATGGAAACCAGCATTTTAGGTGAGGCTTATTTTGTAACTTCGTTTTGGAATTGTTACAATTTCCTTATATTTGGTGGGTATTCCTTTTGACAGAAATGTAATTCATAAAATGGAATGCATTTTGCAATTTATTCATGAATTAATGTATGCTGCTGTATCATTAAAATAACTACAATAGTGATGGCTAACCTTTTTCTCATTTTGTGCCGAAAGTGTGTGCGTGTGTGTGCGTGCCTGCAACCCTAATACCTCCATTTTGGTTGGCAAAGTTCAGGATGAATGTTGCAGAGTCTCTGGAGTTGTTCATACAGGCAAACAACTGCTGTGCTGCTGTAAGATTCGTAGTTTCGGAACTTGTTCATAAAGCTAGAGGGCCCTTATTGTGTAACTCTGAACGTTCGTTAAGGGAATGCTCATAACCTGGGGACTACCTGTAAAAGCTAAACGTGCAAAAAGAATGAATGAAAGGAATTAGAAGTAGTTTCTTATTTTCTTTACAGCAATTCAAATACAAAATTATCTCTTATTCTATAATTGTCAAAAAAAATCTTTTTTTCTGCAATCTATTTTTCTTATCATAAATCATCGGTTCATTTTTTTTCTGTTTCATGCAAACAGAAACAGAAAAACCCCATCAGGAGTTTCCATTCAGCAGTAAACATAGATGGCTTTTCTCTAATCCATGAAATAAATGTAACCATTTCTGCAAGTTCCATCATCATTACTGACCTCCATTCTGAGTGGTGCCAAATCTTTCCACTTCAGTTATCTTATATAAAAACAAAGATCCATGACTTTTTTTCCAGCTGTTTGTCCAACTATCCCAAGAAAATAACCTTTTTGTTTCAGTTGCATATTAGTCTTTAAAATCCTCTGAATCAGTATATGTATTTACATCTAAATCTTTCTAGTCTTCATTATTTACAGTTGTGTTTTTCTTCCATCAGGATTTTGGAGTCTTCTTGTTCTAGCCATGATGACTGGGCTGTCGTGTTGCAGTTTTTCCTGGACAGTTATCTATTTTGATTCATTCGAACCAGGAATGTTTCCTCCTACTCCACTCTCACCTGCACGGTTTAAGTGAGTATCAATTTAGAAAGAATCAAATGTGAATGGATATTGGGCTTAGAAATCTGCCATAAGAAATTGATACAATATGCATGCTACATTTTTACATGATCTCTTGCAATATTGAGGAGTTTTCTTGGTTAATGTATATTTTTTATTGTTATGAAAGGACTTTATGTAAAAATTTTGATTGGCAAAAATCATAATGCGCAGTGGAGAACATTATCTACTGGCTCACCTAAGTGATGACTATAACTGGAAAATTGTGACTTGGGTTGTAAGAGGAAAAAAAGTAACAAGCATGAATTAACAATTGAAGGGAAAAAGAAAAAGTAAGATTAAATGATTCAATTTCATAAATGGATTGATAAAAATAACATGAGAGGGTATAGAAATTTCAGTTGGGCCAAGAATGCAGGAGAATTGTGATAGGATTAATGAGAAGAGAATTACTGATATCATGAGGTTTAATAGTAAGCTTATTAATATGAAGGATAAAGGAATGACTATAAATATTAAAACATGATTTGTTTGATTATTTAAGATAGGAGTGTCAAACTCAATTTCATTGAAGTCCGGCTCAGCATTATGGTTGTAGTCAAAGGACCAGTGGGTGTGGCTGGGTGGTCATGTGGCTGGATGGGCATGGCCAACTCAACGCTGCTCATGTCAAGGGGCACCTGTGTTGGGTCAGACAAGACTGGGAGGGGTGATCCAAGGTGAGTGCCAAAGCCTGGGGTTAGGGTTAGAAGGATGCTTGTGCACAGCTGGGGAGCGTGCCTGGGTGTGTGTGTTGAATGGTGCTGGGGTGCAGTGGGAGGGCAGCCGAACTTCCCATTTGGTTTTAGGCTGGAGTCCAGGTGCAGAGACAATGCCAGTGGGAAGAGGTCAAAATGGGAAGTCTCTGCCCACTGCTGCCTGCCCATTGCCTGCAACAACTTCCCATTTTCACTTCCCTCCCCCTTGCAGACCATGCAGTACTGTTCGACTCCCCAGGCATCCTCCTCAGCAGCGTACAAGCACCAATGCCCTGTGGTTCATGCAGTGCTGTAGTGCAAGATCACATGAGATCAGTAGCGCAAGATCTTGTGCAACTCATTTCTCACTACAGTAGTTTAGACCTTGGTTCTTTGCAAATTGAGGTTTGTATCAGATCTGGCCGAAGAACATTTGCAAGACAAGAAGATTTTGGGGCAGTGAAATTGCCTTATTTGAAGCCTCCCATCAGCTTGAAAACACCTTTCACACTGTTCCAGTCTTGGCGCGAAGAGCCAAGCTGATGGGAGGTTTCAGGCAAAGTGATTTTGCTGCCTCAAAGTCTCATTGGCTCATAAATACTCTTCGCGCTGAGACTGCTACAGTATGAAAAGCATTTGCAAGCTGATGGGTGGTTCAAAGCAAGGGATTTCACTGCCCCCAAATCTTTTTTTTTAAATAAATTTTATGAAGTTTCCAAATTTTAAAAACATAAAATAAAACTTTATACATTGTTATCAACATCAAGACATCTTTTGCATCTTCTCACATTTTTCAGTATACGTATTTACTTATTCCTTTACCATTACATCTTACTCCTACTATAATCAATATCTTTTATCCTTACATCTCAATCTTCTCCATGGTATATTTACATATTTACATATTCCCTCATTCTTTTCCTAATTGCCATTTTATTTTATTTTTATTTCTAAACCACTCATACCAGGCATCCCAGGCCCTATAATAAACTGAATCTTCTCTGTCTTTTATTTTCATCGTTAGCCTGTCCATCTCTATACAATCTTATTTTTTTTATAACCATGCCTTCCAGTGGAACCCTTTCTTCCTTCCAGAGTTGTGCATACAGAATCCTTGCAGCTGTTAATATATGTAACATATCTATCTGTTTTATTGCATTTTTGTGTGATTATACCTAATAAAAATGTTTCCGGATTAAATTCAATTTTCTGATTCACGATTTCTTCTATCCATTGTCTAATTGTATTCCAATATTTTTTCACTTCCTGGCATGTCCACCAGGTATGAAAATAAGTGCCTTTTTCTTTTCCACATTTCCAACAATTTCGGTCTGAGTTAAACATTTTTGCCAATCTAGCGGGAGGAAGGTGTCATCTGTGGCACCTTCAATACATTTTGTATTGGTTTTCCTTGTATGCTGTGGATGTAATTAGTTTGTAATTTGATCCCCACATTCTCTCCCAATTTTCCAAAACCATGTCGGCTTGCAAACACTTTGCATGCCGTCCCAATCTTCCTCTGCACTCAGGAAGGGACGAAGGTGGGTGGGTGGGGGATTGGCAGCACTGCTGCCAGCTGAGGCTTTCCCATGCAGGGGCAGAGTGGTCCTAGTGAAAGGGGGCTGTGAGGCCAGGTCAACGAGCATGGCATGGAGGCGCTGGTGCGGTACAATGCTGATCTACAACTCGTGGCAGCCACCCAGGCCTAAATACAGATCCGACCCGTGTGGCCGGCGTGGAGCCAGTGAGAGACCATCCTGCTATTAAGCCCCATTTCCTGGGCCTGCACACAGGAGACGGCGAGTGTGTGCATCCCGGATGAAAAGGGAATGCTCAGAATGTAGTCAGCCTGCGGGGCAAGATGGTCCCCAGGGACACCAGGCCTTGTGCATGCTTTCCGCTTCCTATGAGCACACCTAGGGGGCGGCGGGGTGACTTCTTGAGTCAGATCTAAAACTGACTGCATTCAAGATCAGATGGCCGCCACCAGATTGTAGAATAGATCAACACTGTGCCTGCACCGGAGCCTCCATGCCCCACTTGTTGGCCTGGCCTCACAGTCCCTGAGGCTTCCCTTTCATTGGGACTACCCCCTGTTGGAAAGCCATGTCTGGCTTCTTGGCTGCAGACTCTGACCTAGGCAAAGCAAGCAAGGGACACGCTGCATGTGCCCAGAGGCTCCCTTGACAGACATCCAAGCTTCAGTCTCGCTCTGATCTACCCATTCAAGTGCCGGTCCAGGGCACAGTCTCACTAGCTTGCCCCAAACTCGCCCTCAACCTCCTCCAGATGCAACGGCTCACAGCCTTGCCCTGGCCGTGACCACCACCTCAGAGCGCAAGACGTGGGGCGAGGCTCTGGCAGCCTTTCCTCCATCCACACATTGGAAAACCCAGACCAGCTTTGCCGGTGGAACGCCTGCCTGGCAGGTCCAAAGGATGTGAGAGTCTCCAGGCACCAGGGGCAGGTGCTGTGCATGAGCTTTCCAATGGGGGGGGCGGGCAGGGGTTGTCCCAGTAAAAAGAAAATGCTGCCAGTGTCTCCCCTTCCCCTTGTCATTTTCTGAACCTGGCCTCGCAATCCTGCAAGGCTTCCCTTTCACTGGGACTGCCCCAGCCACCCGCATGGGAAATCCATGGCCGCTGGTGGCACAGCCACCAGCAGCACTGCCAAACTCTCCCCCTGGCCTGTGGAGCTGCCCTAGAAATAGTGAAGGACCAGCCTGTGTCACTTTGGTCTGGCCCAGGCCGACTGAGCGCTGATCTAAAACTTGTGGTCAGCCTTACGTCTGACCTGGAACTCTGCCCAGTCCCCCCAGACATGCACCGGCATCCTAAATGAAAGGGGAGCGTTCAGAACAAAGTCAACCTGTGGGGCAAGGTGTTCCCCAGGGACACCAGGTCCTGCGAGCTGGCCACCTATTGTGCACGTGCCTAGGAGACAGGGAGGGGGTGGGGCAATGGATCTAAGGCTGAGCAGGTTTCAGCCTGGAATGGCCGCCGCCAGTTGTAGATCAGCGCACATCCGGGAGGTGGGGGCGAGGCAGCGGGGTGGTCTCAATGGCTCCAGGGCAGCTGTGTGGGCCAGATCTGCCTGCAAGTCTTTTGAGTTTGACATCCACGCTTTAAGAGAATAAACTAAAGCTAGAAGGGTGATGAGTTTCTGAATGTGGGAACAGGTTGTTATTTGCTAGTGTCAAGAATGGATCTTTGGGAAAAATAATTGAAGAAAAGGAAAAAAGTAAAAGAAACTAGAGTCAACATAAAATGACTGCAGGAAGAGGCAATACAAACTCTGTATGAAATAATATTAGAAGTTAGCTTTATTTCTCAACAGCTTGAATGGAAAATGAATGTACACAAAGAAGCTGCTTGGACTGTTGCAAAAAAGAATTAGGTTGCAAAGACCCAGCAAAATAAGTGGAACTGTATTGATGGGGCAGATGTAAAAAAAAATGTTTAATGGAAGGAGGAGGTAAAAGAGGCTATGAATATGTGAAATATTGCTGCAAAAAAAAAAGGTGAGAAAGATGCATTTTAGTGGTGTGGCCAAAGAGATCAAAGAATGATTAGCATCAAAATAGACAGAAAAACAGCAATTTTGGGGGGGTGGGGTGGGGAATAAAAGTGGTTTTTGAATTGGATTAATAAAACTAAAGAAGCGGTGTCCAACTGGAGCCATAGAATTAAAAATTAAAGTGAAAAAATTATATGGGATGAACTGAAGCTAAGAGATCGTTGAGGAGAGTTTTAGAATTTTTTTTGTGGAAAGGCTAATGATGTCAGATTGAAACGAATACTGTAGACTCAGTTGAAGAATATGGAAGAATTAAAAGTGATAATGCTATGAGGATGTTGAAAACTGGTAATGCTGCGGGTGTAATCCTTTAACTGGAGAAATGTTAAGATATTGTGTTAAATGTTAACATGTCAATAAACAGGTAGTCCTCGATTTACAAGTTTGTTTAGTTAGTGTCCGTTCAAAGTTACAACGGCACTGGAAAAAGTGACGTGTCCATTTTTCACGCTTACAAATGTTGCACTTTCCCCACTGTCATGTGAGCAACATTCAGATTCTTGGTGACTGGTTCATATTTATGACGATTTGCAGTGTCCCAGGGTCATGCGATCCCTTTGTGTGACCTTCTGACAAGCAAAGTCAATAGGGAAGCCAGATTCACTTAACAACCATATTACTAACTTAACAACTGTGGTGATTCACTGTGGCAAAAAAAAAAAAAAACCAGTCATAAAATGGGACAAAATTCAGTTAACAAGCAACAGAAATTTTGGGCACAATTGTTTAAGGGTGTTTGGAAAGCTATTTAGCATAAATCTGATTGAAAGACTATGATAGCTTACAGTGAGCGAAATTTAAGGAATGAAATATAGTTTTATGGTAGGATAGGATATAAGCAAGGATGGGGTGTAAGCAGACTATTCTACATAGCAGGTCGGTTTATTGTACACTTGCTGATTTAGAAAAGTATGACAAAATGGATTGTTTTTGAAGGCTGGTAAGAGAAGTACGTGAAAGGAATAATCAGACATAAAGTTTAATGAAATGCTTAGCAAATGGTTCAATGCTACTTAAAGAACAAGTCTGTGTTGTGCAATGTCTCCTCAATTTAATGTATTTTTGGATAAATGTATATAGGAAATGCTTGAATCGTTAGAAGAATCCTGGTTAAAAAAGTGAATGCCTGTATATTCACAGCATTATATTCAGGCCTGTATGCAGATGACATGCCGGTATGTCATGGTATGTGTGAGAAATTGAATGATTTGCAGAGCAGCTTAGCTTTCATGAAGCATCATGAAATCTGAATCTTATGTTTGAATGAATTTTTTGTAAAAATGTAGAGACAGATGTGTCATTGAGATTATATATTTTTTGCTACGATGACTGAATAGAATGGAGGAAATGTGAAACTTAGTATTTTGTTAGGATTATATCAATGAGGCACTATAATACAGATAGATGAAAGAAATGTAAGAATTGGAGACTAAAGAGCGGATTTGGAAAAATGAATTGTTAGACACATAGAAATTAACTGTTTCGTTTATTTTAAGATTTTATTTAGACTTATTTTTAAATTACAGATTATTTTTATAATCTTACTTGATAATGATGAATAAGTATATTTTAATTAATGACTGGATAATTAGGTTTGTTTAATATTGTAAAAATATTGTAAGTGCTATTAGGGTTAGATGTTGGTTATATTATGGTTAACTTAGAATAAGAGATGATTTACCAGTTATATATTTGTATCTCTACTGAAGAAAGTCGGTGTTTTTTATTTTTTCTTTCTTTTCTCACAATTTTAAATGTCTCCTCTTTTTGATTCTTTTTTTTCCTAATTTTTATTACATATTTTATTTTTTCTTTGAAATTTAAGTATTTTTTTAAAAAACTATGAATCTAAAAATAAATTTATTGAAGGCTGCACAATTACATTTGATAAAAAATGGCTATCGTTTATAAATAAATTGCAAAAAAACAAACAAACAACAGAATAAGCTGATTAATTTGTGTGCCTTAAAGAAGGGAAACTGGATGGAAAAAAAGTGGAAATGATGGCAGAAAAATATGTGTTTAATATATGGTGTATTGCAAGGGATTGTATTTGTCAGAAGAAATGAACATGACTATTATGAGAACTGGGTAAATCATGAAGTACTTAAGGGTGTGATAAAGCAAGAAAATAAGGATCAAGAATGAATGAACCACAAATTTATTTTTAAATAGGTTCAATAGATTGCTTTTATCTAATAGAAATCGCCTTTTGTTGCCTTTTGTATTAGAGGCAGTGTTCACATGTGTGAAGGCAACAAATTAAGCAATTTCAGGAGTTGGCCAGCAGAGTGTATTGTAGCATAATTTTTTACAACCCAATGTATAAAATTCTTTTTTTTTCCTTGAGAATTCCAGAAAGTGTAAATATATTGTGAAAAAGATGTAAAATCCATATATAATAGAACTTGATAGACCAATCAGAATTCAATCAGTTGAGTTTGAATTCATTGTTATTCTTACTATCAGAATATATTATATATTTGTGTGCAAAATTAAAATACTGAGAACGAATTAAAATTTATGAACACTGAAAAGGGCAGCTCACTAGGTGGTATTACTGTGTTCAGAGGCAGATACATATTAGCATTTCGTAAGCATTAAAACAAAGCCAGCTTATCTATGTAAAATGTTTCATGGCATGAAATATCTATCCTCTCTAATCTGTTAATCAATTAATTGATCTTCTTTTCTTTTCAGGCGACTGACAGGACATTCTTTTCACATGGGCTATAGTATGGCTATATTGAATGGAATTGTGGCAGCTTTCACTATAGCCTGGTATCTTTTATAATCTACTTTTAAATCTGTGTCTCAGAATATAGCCCTAAAAATCAACCAGGCAGCCATTGTACACAAGATGGTATTTGCCACACTTCCTTTATTTGTTTTGCTTAATATTGCTAAGGAAAAATACTAAAACACATGAACTGATGGAATTTGACAAGGAAAGTCAACCCAAGCATTAAGGAACCATTTTCAGATTCCATTTGACAACTTCATCTAAGATTGAACAGTGATGTTTAATTCTGAAGATCTTCCTTCAGTATTTTTTTGTATACCATTAAATAAATTTAAAATAAGTTTTTATCTTGTTATGCCTCATATATAGCAACAACTAATTGGATTTGTTCTTTATACTAAGTAATTCAAAATGTTTTATTTACTGGAATTAGTTTTTTTATATAGTGCTGATTAATGGGGGTCATGTATCGAACTTAAATTGCTTTGAAAGGTATTTTTTTCATTGATACAATAATTTGAAGTGATATTTTTCCCATGTGTGTATTCAGTATGCAGTATTAAACCTTCTGCCTTCCCAGCCTTTATGCCTCAAATAATTTGTATTAGAGCAGCCTCATTTCTAGACTTCCATGGTCTAGAAATTACTGGAAATAATGAAAATCATTGTCTAAATAGCTTGGTGTTCTTGGATAAATATTGATAAATTGGCATTTTGTAGTATTTGCAAATAATTAAACATTAATGTATTTACAATTGATGAGGCAAAATGGCAAAATGGAAGTCAATTATTTACAATAAGTAAAAATGTACATGTTCTTATTAAAACATGTTGACACATAAAAAAAATCATGTATTTGTTGAATTATGATTCTGTATTTCTAAAATACTATGGCAAAAGATCCTGTTGCACATTAGAACAACAGAAAAACACACTGAGCGATTAAGGGTTTTGTAGAGAAATAAAATTCAGTATAAACCTGTTTATTCTCTTTCATCATAGGGAAGGGTTGAAAACATATTTGGTTGAAACCAGTTTTCATTTGATGGATGTAAGGTCTTTTCCCCTTATAACTTGGACTCACCAAAAAGTCTGTGCTAGAGATTCATCAACTATCAGGAACAAAATTTCAGCAGGGACATATCAGTATCTGCAGTAACTGAAAGTCTCACCCCTCTTATCGATTATTCTTCCATCAATAAGTTTGGATCTAAAATGTTAGTTTAATTTCTTTCTGGTTCTTAAGCAATGTCATATGATATTACATTTTGATTATACAGTAAAAATTATTTTTTAAAAAAAATCCTTTGTCCTATACTTCTTTGTTGGTATGTTTTTCTCCACAAAACTGGTAACACAGCTTGCAAAAACATTTGTATTGAGAAAGCAGAATAGAAATCCATTTGATGAATAGCAAAGCACAATTGTAACATTTATCATCTGTTTTAATTTTCTGATGAGCAAATAATTGAATTATTTTCAACTATTCTTAATTCAATTTTTCCTCTCACAGCTGGAGGACTGACTGGCTGTGGGCTCAGAAAGAGCCATGGATGGGTCTTTAGTTAATGTTTTGGAGGTTAGATGTAGGAATGGCAAGTGAAGCCTCTCAGTTGGAATCAGTTTCCCATTTCTGCTCTTTTAAAAGTACTCTAATGTTCTCACCAAAATGATCCAAATTGTGCTGTTGGAATCAAACTTCAGCAGCATAATTTGGGATTAGGTGTTAGGCAAAAATAGAAGTGCTTTACTTTACTATAGAAGTTTTTTTTTTTTACTTCTATTGCTAGAAATTATGCTTCCAAAATTTGACCATTTTGCCACTTAGCCTTGGCAGTGCAATCTTGGAATGCAGTGGAGCTACAATTGGGCTTTTGTATTTCTTTGATTATTTTCTCTTCCCGCCCCTCTCTATCTTTCTGCAGTTTTTTTTTCATTACAGAATATGCATGTTTTTTATTTAAATTGTTTGATTAAATTTTATCATAGCTCATTGTGAAATTGCATCCTTTTCTTGATGCATCCTTATCTCTCTGAAGGAAGGCATTGCTTTTTAAGCTTAATTCTCAATCTGGCCAGCTCTTTGCATGTGCAACAATCGTAGTGTAGTTATGAAAGGGTTGAACTTGAACTGGAAGACCCAAGTTCAAATATCTATAGTTTGTTTGTTTGATTTTCGTCCCACCTTTGTTCTTTTTTATAAATAGCCCAAGGCAGCAAACATACCTAATACTATTTTGTCCTTTCAATTTTCCCCAGAACAACAACCTTGTGAGGTGGGTTGGGCTGAGAGAGAATGATTGGTCCAAAAATCACCCGACTGATTTTCATGCCTAAGGCTGCATTAGAACTCATTCTCTTGGTTCCTAGCCTGGCGCCTTAACCACTACCCCAAACTGGCTCTCAGTGCAACCTTGAATCTTTCTGTGTAGTTTTGGAACAGCGGTGAATCTGTCGAGCTCAGAAATTGCTTGTTCAAATTCTCTTCTGCCCCATAATTCTCATGACGTTTGCTCCCTTGCAGCACTTGCAAATTCAGCAAGAACCTCTTATTTGCTGGAACGCAATCCGGCTTCCACACAAAAGCAGAGTTTAGTTTTTGTGGAATCCAGTATGTATAGAGACAGTCAAATGATGTCAGTGGGAATGGGGATTACCTCCCAACAGAGCTGTAGATTGATAATGCCTGCATGGGTTTAGCTCTCGAGATAGTTCTTGTTAGAGGATAATACAACTGTTGGAGGAGAAAGAATCCTGAACACCACACTGAATTGCTTGTGGAAAGGTATATAAGTGTGATTCATGATTAGAAAACCCAGGACAATTAGTTTTGCAGCTCTTTGCTTTCCTGATCCATGTTGCATGAAGAAAACCGAACTGCAGTGACAGGAATCGGGAGCTTTCAGTAATTATGTAGATAATTAAATGTTAACAGATTCCATGAAAAATGTTAGTTAAAGAAGAATATTTTATGAAGGGTTGTATGAAGGACAATTCATACCATCCACTTCTGAAACACTTTCAGTGTTACCTGGACACTTTGCTGGCAACCAGAAAACCCTAAAGAAACGTAATCAAATTTTGTGTAGTGTGCTGAAGGAATAGAGAAGAAGAGACGTAGGACTGTCCTTGGATAGATATCGAAGAACAAATATGCAAGACTTTCAGGTTAGTCCTTCCTCAATTGGTAGGAAGTCTAAAGATTTTAAAGCACCTTAATCCGCACTTGCTTAAAAAAATGAAATCCACATTTTGAGATTTTTTAAAAAAATATTTTTTCTTTCTCTTTGGACTTTGTGTGTGTGTGTATGTGTACTTGATATCTTCTATGTTATATTGTATTTGTATCAGTGCCACTATAGATATGTTTTTTATGGTAGAGAATGCGGTAGAGAAAAGTTTGAAATAAAATAGGTTTAGAGCAGCTCTTCCTATCTTTTTTTCCAAATAAATTCACACAAGAAAAGAAAAGGCATTTATATAGCCTATATAAGTAAAGCAGACACTATGGGTAATACTTAATATCTGAATAAAATAATGTTCATGAATCAATTATTTCCATTCAAACAAAACATATGTTAGAAATGTTTTCTATAGATTTATTATTATGTACTTTTAATCTTGGTTAAGTATACATACTTGCTTGGAGAAAAAGCTTTTATTTTAAAGTATTGGGTTTTTGTAAAATTCAGATTATAAACTTGCATGAATTCCTTTGGATGTGTGTATCAAAGCATATTCTGAAACATATTTGGAATAGTGTAGATAATTACTTTTCTAGGAAATACAATTGAGCTCTGTTCTGCCTTTTTTATTACTTTATTGACCTAGAAACATTAAAATGCCCAATTGTCCACATAGAACCTATTTTATATTTAAATAGTGAGTGAGTCTGGCTGAATAACTTAATAAACGTATGTTAGGATTTATTAATACCATAGTATCTGTGGCTTTTGGGAGACAGTTTAGTGTGCTGTAATACCAGCCTAAAAACGTGGCAACGTGGGAGTTCTAGTCCCACCTTGGGCACAAAGCCAACTGATTGATTAGGACGGTCATTCTCCCTCACCCTTAGGAAGACGTCCATAGCAAACCACACCTGAAAAATATTCAATTTAAGAAAACTGCATGGAATTGTCCATGTAATGCCAGGAATCAAGATCGGCTGGAAGGCAAACCCTTTCACCTATACCAGTCCCACCTCATAAAACCATATGGCATTTAGTTCATTATAAAGTTACATTTACATCTTGAGCGGGAGTTTTGTATAATGCTTCTAGGGCTTAATTGGGCATTTTATTATTATGCTACTTGGGTTATAAGATTGGTGGCTGTTTACCTTTGGCCTTCAAAGTATCTGGGAGGTTGCAGAAGGGGGCTTTGCAGCATTGTTGCTCTTCATGTTATTCCTCCTTTGCTGCTGTTGGGAAAGGAGTCTGCAGTGAACAAGGTAGAAGCAAATCAACCTGCATTTTAAAAGGAGGCTGCAGACGGTTGTTTGCATTAACCCAGAGTCCAAGCCATTTTAGAACCGATACATGATTATGGCTAAAGTTTGGGCTAAGAGGAGGGAATCATAGATTTTAGGGTAGCCTTAGCCACAGAAGCATACTAGGTGATTTGGGACCAGTGTCCACTCACAGTATTGTGGCAAAAAAAGGGGGGGGGTTATTTTATACACTACTCTAAAGTTCTGAATGAAAGGAAGCATATAAATGAAGTAAAATCAAAGCTTTCCTAGGTGGCAATGCAAAAAAACTATATACTCAAAAGTTCTAACCATTCATTCTCAGTCTCTTACTTTCGTTAATACAAAGGGCGTTACGTAGGTAGAATCTAAACAGTGTGGTTTACATGTTTTGAACAGCTCACTTTAACTTTGCAGAATCATTTTTGGAGAAAAATATTCAGTATTATGGCTAACATAATTTATAGCAGAGCTGAAAATTAGGTATTTTGTTTTCAAATTTCATACTCTTTTAACATGCTAGAGGCCTGCAAATTAAATGCTGGTTGGGTCATAATATGATCTACAGATTGCTGACTGCATCCATACTATAAAACAAAGGTGGACATCTGTTCTGTAGATGTTTTGCACTACCTATTCCATAAGTTTCATCTAACACAATAGTAAGGAATGATGACCAATACATTTTGGAACACCTCAATTTGCTCCCTGCTTCCTTAGAGAAGAAAAGAAGTAGAAATGTGTTTTTTTTTAATATGATTTATTTTATAAAGCAAAGATGAAAAGACTCCTTATCTACCCCATTGTCCTCTTTCTAGAACAAGCACTTCCTCTGTCATGTTAGGGATAAACATGTTTAGCCAAACAGTTCGGCAAAATGCTTGTGACCTGACAGGGGTTCATTGCTTAGTCTTTTTATTCTGTAGCATATGCTATTTGGCTAATGTAGCTTTGGGATTCTGGTTTAAGATAATTATTAAAGTTCTTGCTTTTTAAAATGGTTTTTTTTTCCTCTCAGATTTGCAAAATGGCTTATCTTGAAAGCTCACCACTTTACTGGAGTGACGCCTGTGATAGAAATTAGATGTTCAGCTATGATTTATCTGTTCTTCCCTTCAATTTTATTTGCAGCAGTACAACATTTGTGCTCAGAATGCTTTCTGCTTCTTCAGTGTAATGAGGAACTGAAAGGGATGAAGCCTTGAATTATGAAAAGGAGAAAAAGCCAAAGCCACTGAAAAAAAAATGCCTAAAGGCAGAAGTGACATAATTGCCACTAAAGTAATTGTGGT